AAACACGCATAAATTAGCCGAGCACTTCTTGGAGATGATATGAATTGATTTCCTCCATTGCGTTGCAGCCATTTCCCTCCCTCGCAAACAACTATCGGGCGGTGCAGGATTAATTACTGTGTTTCAAACTCTTCATGGTCTCAAACTGGCGGCTCAGAGCGACACCCAGTAGCCGTACATGCTCTTGATTTTCAGCAGGCGGTCAACCTGTACAGAGCCATGATCAGAACGGTGCCAGCGAGAGTGTCACGATGCACGAAACCAATCTTCTATTGTGCCTCCTGGTCTCCGACGAAACCGAACACTTTGAGAATCGTCTGTACCTCAGCAATCTCGGCGAAATATCAGCGGCCAACTTTGCCCGAGTTGCCTAATGGGCGCGCAGACAACTCTCGGCCGGACTGGAGGTGAACGCGCCCTTCCGAGAGTCTCTTCACCTGTACCAGGCTTGCGGACCTTTGGCTGAATGAATGAAGGGAGCATTTCAAGCAATTCATGGCAATCTGTGCAGATAACCTTTGCCGCCTCATCGACGATCACTTCACATTTGCCCATGCTGAGGGCCAAGAAGTATACGTCGCCGATGCCAAATCTGGCCTGTGCACACTCGCAAGCATCGCAGACCTAGACTTCGCTACAACCCGCATTGAGCCTCCGGCTTTCTGATTGATTTGTGCAGTCGTTCGGGCCGCATTGTAAGTGACGGAGTGGTATGACCTTTCAAGACGATGATTGCTGATTGCGTGCTGACCTTTTGCAGAGGAAGTTTCACAAAATCCAAATCAATACTTAAATGCGAGGTTTTCCACAGTTTAAAAGACTGCGCCTTTCTGCCCCAGCCCATCACTCCGCCCTGATCCTGCTTGCCGTCCAGCCGAGAGAATCCACACCAAAAGAGCAGTTGGCACGAACTAGTTACGGGAGTGATTTTCCAGAAAACACACATATGGAAGAGTGAATGATGCTGCTACTCCTCCTCTGCCTACTTCTAGCTGTATGCCAGGGCAGGGTCAGATACCGTCGAGTAGTGTGCTCAAAAGCTGACACTGACGTGTTCACACCGGCAAGACAAGCAAGGACCACTAGGCTTGCAAAGCAATCATGACTGCATGAATCAGAGCAACTCTCTTGCGAAGCTGCGGTCTTAGATCAGTGCCACGGGTCGTAGCCGATAAGCCTCGTGCGAGAAACCCTCTCGCCCCTCACGAAGCTGGTGCGGATCGTAACTACGATGGGGGCCCAGCTTGTATGCCGGCTCCATGCTTTCGAGGAAGAGGGGGGCTGCAGAAAACCAAACAGAATCACGCTCAACTATCGTTTGCTGCTTCAGGGCCCCACCGGGGACGGCGGGGTCTGACTGGTTGCAGAACCTCAAGCCGAATAAGCCAAGCACGCTTGTCAGGGCGTTGAGCACTAGGTTACTAAGTGAGCTCACAACAGTGACACACATGCAGGTAAGCTGCCAAGAGCTAACGCGTGGACAGGCCAGGTTCGTCCTGAACAGGGTATGGCTACCACTACTACTCATAGAAGAGCTTTGGAGACAGCCTAGATTTCGCAATGAGCATACATGTCTGACAGACTTTGGGGCCGAAAGTTGCGAGCCAGGCCTGGCACGAAGCTGGGGATTGTGCCCCAATGGGTCCACAAGAACGAGCTGCACCCATCCATCCCAACTCTGAGTCGCACTCATCCACCACGGTCGCTCTCCAAAGAGCCATCCGTGCCTAGTATCATGGCTGAACCACCCAACCACATTGCCACATATTCCCTATGTTGTTCGACGTCTCATTTTGCTCAAGTGTTCCGTTTCAGTGTTTTGCCTCCTGGATGCGATGCGGGTGCAGCATGTAGATCTCACAGAAACCAACTAGGCAAAGGGGCAGAACGAATCGTTCAAACTGCGGCTGCTGGAGCAAAGTACCATCTGAGAGAGAAGTCGAGTCTTGCCAGTCAGAACACTACGTCACTGCATGAGCAGCGATCCGGCACACAGCAGTCCTGCGGCAAACCATGTAGATCCGCTTGGCAGAGAACTCGCAGCAAGTCCGAATCTGGGCCACGCAGGTAGGTTGAAAAGAGAGGCCGGTCTCTGTGCAAAGCATCACACGAACAAACTAGCATAATCTTGTCGAAAGCGGCGTTCTCCACTCCAAAGGCTCCATGACCGGCGATCATGACGTCCTTTCCGCGGGCTGCCTGTCAGTTGAATCCGTGGCATGCGCATGATTGCCTAAACTAGGACTGCACGGCGTGCAGAAAGCCTGGTCGTAATCGATGGTATCGAACATCGCATATCTTCAGGGGCTAAACTACTTCAGAAAGCTTCCAGTCGTCAGCCACCGAGGTGCTGACTCAATCGTGCCCCCAAAGAGGTCCTGGCATCTCCGACAAGCTCTAGACTCGAGGTACGGCTGCCACGGCTTGCGGTGCTGGACTTCTAGACCTTGCCTCGCCGAGGTATGTATCTTGCCGAGGAAAGGAAAGATTCCCTGGGTACCTCAGCTTCGGGCCAACATGAAGCTTCATAGGGGCGAGATGGGCGTGCGACCCGGGCGGTGTATGTTGGAAACGCCGGACCACTACCGAGCCAACAACGCATGACAGCACTGGCGCTCAAACCCGAGTTTCGTTTGACGATTCATAACCGTCGCAGGCTGCTTTCAATCTAGCCTGCCCGTTAGAGTTCTCCCCTTGTTTGTGGACCTGAGTCCTGGCTGAATTTTCGCAGGAAAAGCATGCACCTGTCATTTGGCTACCAGTTAGACAGGAAGCGACACAAATTTAAAGCCACAGGCGCCGACAAAGGGCATCCCTCCGCCCTTCCACCGACTCCACATGGATGGTAGTGCACGCGCGCACACACGCACACACGCACACACGCACACACGCACACACGCACACACGCACACACGCACACACGCACACGCACACGCACACACACACACACAAACACACACACACACACAGACACACAGACACACAGACACACACACACAATCACACACACACACACACAATCACACACACACAATCACACACACACACAATCACACACACACACACACACAATCACACACACACACACACAATCACACCCACACACAATCACACACAATCACACACACAACACACACACACACACACAACACACACAATCACACACACATCACACACACAATCACACACAACACACAATCACACAATCACACACAATCACACACACACAACACACACACAATCACACACACACACACACACACACACACACACACACACACACACACACACACACACACACACACACACACACACACACACACACACACACACACACACACACACACACACACACACACACACACACACACACACACACACACACACACACACACACACACTTGACACATCGTGTCGCAGGTCTGATCTGTCGGTGCATACTGTCAGGGAAAGTCAGCAGCTGTCAGGGAAAGTCAGAGGCTGCACGAGAAAGTCAGAACATGCAATCTGAAGTACTACCATAGGACAAACACGAATCACTCATGTAAGACTGACATGTGCAGACCCTCACTCATGACTGTCGCATTCACAGACAAACTCTTGAACAGGAACTGAGCAAGAAACTGACCAATGCAAGCCCTCACTCATGACTGTCGCATTCACAGATACGCTCTCAAGCTGCCACATGCGTGACCCATGAGCAGCTTTATGCAGGTACAGGTTCACACGTCTGTGAGCCCACCCAGTCAACATCCATAGCTTCGTTGGCGTGGCTAGGATGCGACTGCCACGCCCCCTGCTGCTTAACTCACTCACATCTCTTGGAAACAGAGTTGGACACACACAAGCCCCGAGGGGCTCCTTGCAATGTTGACAGTCGTTGCGCGCTGTTTTATCTCACCGATTTTTCATGGGAAAGTCTTATGCTCAAGAGATCTAGGAAAATGGGCTACGAAACTTCAGGAAACGCAGTCTGTGCACTAAGTGCAATTCGACTTCGGCTTCTTCCGCATCAGCATCGAAGTACATGCAACACTGAGTTGCAGTTTGGTACGCAGCATTGGCCAATGACACGATACTCACTCGCAAATGCTCCTGTACTAGGCTCTACCACAGCTCTCATCCACCTTTTTGACGGGCTGCTCAACATGGTGCAAGCCACGGCATTGATTTGGACAAAACGGATGGTGGTATGCAAAGACTGAAAGCCCATGGTCAACTCAACCGAGGAGGACAGCCGAAATTCCTGTATCCCACGTCGCAGGAACGTGTACGCCACCATGGTGTCGGTTATGGGTTGTGCCTCTTCTGGGTCATCATTTCGATCGAGGCGAGTAATGAATGTGATTCTGGCTCTGATCGGCAACACGTACATCAAGATGTTCTCGAGCACGTCAGAAGCGGCCCAATCCATGTTGTTCGGGATCTACACAATTTTCAGAGTGCTTGAAACAAAACTCTGTTGCATGTCTGATGAAAGCAGCTCACAACACCGCAGCACTTGCACATCTCTGACATGTTACTCTGCACATTTCTTGCACTGCACTTGCACGAACCTCGCACATCCCTTGCACATCACTTGCAATCCGCTTGCACATCCCTTGCTCGTCACTTCTCTTGACATGACACAGAGGTGGTCTCTTTTTATACCGTCACAACGAAATCGACTGGTTCAAGGGTTTGAGCAGTCGTTACAGGTTCCGTAAACCGAAGATGGCGAAAGTTTTGTACAAGCTGGAAGGTGTGTAACCTAGGCCACCGGCCGAACTTCTCCCAGAGCTGCATCGCGACGAGGTATTTGGCAACGTTGATGGAATCGTTGATTGATAGCTGGATGTGGAGAGTGATAGTCTCGTGTCCGGTTGCCCGACTGCATACACGAACCCACATCCGAAAAATGTAGTCGCGGCTCGTACTCCAAGGCAGATTGGCTTCACGGGCCTTGCGCTTCATGTTGGGCAACCTACACAGTTTCACTGGATTCCAAATGCTGCAACTCAAGACGGTTCATGCAGAAAGCTGATAATGCACAGCACGGCAAACGCGCACTCTTTAGTTTCTTTCACTTTCTTTGTGCAATCTCTCACTTTCGGTCAAGAACGTACTGCACAAGTTTCAAAGTGGACGAAAAACGCTTCCTAGGGCCTTGCTTTTCTTTAGCAATGCGTTCTCCATGCTGTCTCAAGAAATCGAGAATGAACTGAGCTCTGTTGTGAATGAAGAAATCGTCACCAAGCACTCTCGTGCCTTCCATTCTGCGGCGAAATTGGGTACTGGGTGCAGGGCGAATCTTGATGCGCACACCATCAGGCCCTTCATCGATCATACGAAGTTTGCGTTTCCGCGGTGGGTCCGTCTGCAACATGTTGGTGTGCTCTGCAGCGGACTGCTTCGGCTTTGGGACATGAACTAATCGACCAGAGGACAAAGACGTAGACTGTCGGTCAATGGATGAAGACGCATTAATACTCTCATGATCAAGAGCAAAATCAGCCGAATCCGGATCGCTGGCCAAAGGAACACCTGATGCCACATCTGCACGTCGATCACGTTCTTGGTCCGATACTGCAAGGTCTGACGAGAAGTCGGAAGAGTGCACGTCCGATACAGAGGCACCATCGCTCTCGAAACTGGACACCGACATGATGGAAAGCTACTTGTACGTTCCGAATCTGTCTTGCACTGCAGAGAACCTTGAGGACATGAGGCAAGACAATGTCTGCAAACGCTCACAACACATGGTGCCGGCAGATCGCTTGTATTACCCTTGCACATCACTTGCACATCACTTGCACGTCCCTTGCACATCCCTTGCAACACTCTTGCAGTGACACTGGCGCACAGACGCTTCTTTGCAACTGCTCACGTTTCACTCTGAAACTTCAATCTCTGCTGGGAGCGTTGGGGGCAACTCTGTTGTTTCTTGTAGTTGAAGAGAATTAACGCAATGGGAAGTCACAGATTGAAGAGAATGCAAATCCGTCAGCAAGTTGCCCACCACTTCGTTGGTCTTCTGAAGTTTCTGAAACAGTTCTGTGATGGCAGACATGACTTCTGCCACCTGAGTCTCCGTGTCCCTGATTTGTGTGGTGAGCACGTCGAGTTGGGCTTGTTGGATCTTTTGGACGGAGAAAGCTTCTTCGCGAAAGTGACGGAATTCACCTCTGATTGTGATCAGCTCCTGTTGTGTGTAGGAAATCCAGCGTTGAAGAGGTGCCAATGGGTCGCACGCTGAGTTGCTCGACATTAGTGCAATGGGATGACACTTGAGCAGGGTGCTGCAACACTGTTCTGGTATGCAATACAACATGAATGAAACAATACTCACAGAACTTGCATCCAATGCACATTCTTTCCTCACTTCAGCACTCACATGCGTCACAGATACAAGCGAAACCCTGTCACTTCGGACATACTCAGCTGAGATCAGACGATTGACTGCGTCGAAATCGGCGTGATTCACGCCTTCTGGTAGGCATGGGTTTGGATCTGATCGGAGTACCTGACGTAGCTGAAGATGTAGGTGCAGCCGACGACGAAGCGGTACTCGACACCAAAGGAGGTTCAGACACACGATGCCCCAAGCTTCCTGGCGGTGCCGGGGGTGGAAAGACGGGAGCACTGGCACTGGGCGGGGGGAAATTGGGAGGGGGAAGAGGAGGAGGGAGGGGAGGGGGGGGGAGAGGGGGAGGGCCAGGGGGAGGTAGGGGGGGAGGTGTGGAACTGGAAGATGGGTTGTCGCTCCCTGCACTCGGCGCACTCCTCATTGCTGGCAGAGGGGGTGGAGGTGCATAGGGATGGGATCTGCAATTGCCACTGGACGAACGTGATCCTGAAGCTCCACTACTGCTAGGACGTTCTTCACGTAGGTTTGCTCTATCCCTCTCATCCAAACGACGCAACTCTTGCTGCAGCATTCTTTCTGTCCCGTCACGCACAAAAGCTGTCAATTGAAGTACAAGGGCTTGACGAAGTTGAGGTCGTGATACAAAGTTGAGCAATCTCACACGCGCTGAATGAGTGAGCATTCTCAAGAACTCATCGATGCTAGGATCCGAAGGTGGCACCGTCGGCATGCTTGCTTGCACAGATGATCTCGTCTCTTAGCCAAAAACACTGCGATGCTGACATTTGCAAGTCTCTCACACATGGCAAACTCAGATCAAGACATGTTGCATGCACGTCCGCTGTCAACTGTCAACTGATAACAGACCACTTTTATCGTTTCATCAAAGCTTCACATAAGCGAAATGGATAACCAAGGTTCGCTAACCACCGTACAAAAGTATGGACAGCTACTTCCGCTTGGCACGTTGGCCAAGTGTACTTACGGATGAGAGAAATTCTCGACTTCGCACCTGACACCAGCAATCGATCGCTACCAGCACTCATGGGATGTCGAACTTGCCAAAGGAACTTGGGCTGGAGATAGTAAATCGTTCGGTTTCGGACATCGATATCAAATCCCAAAAAGTGACCATCACCGACAGCTTCAAGAAC